AAGGGAGGGAGGAAGACTGGATCTGCAGCGGCGGCGGGCAGAGGAGCCGGGAGGAGGAGGAGCCGCTAGAGCTACAGCCGCCGCTGCCAGAGCCGCCGTTCACAACCTGCGGTGGGTCCCAGTCAATGCCCCTTTCTCTCTCCTATTGTCAATATCACCGGGCGGCTGAGTCCATGGCACACGCGCAACCGAACATCTTAGCTCGCAGCGACCGCCCCCGACGCCCGCCCATTGGGCACTTCGAACGGGAAGCAAGTGTTTATTGGTCGGTGTCCGCCTTCACTCCCCTGCCAGCATGTTCGTCTGAGAGCCGATCGGGGATTGGCGGCGGGGGGGGCGGAGACACAAGAGGGTGGGAAGAGAGGAAGCCGAGGATTGGCCCGGGGCTTGAGGGACCCGGATGCAGCCGCGAGCACGGGCGCCGCGGCCGCAGCTTCCGCCAAGCGGCGTGGCAGGCTGAAGTGGGACACCGCGGCTTCACCTGGGTCTGAGAGCTGCTTAACCCAGAGGGGTGCGCTTGCCAGATCTGCGGGAGAAGTTTCTGCACCCTGGGAGCCTTCAGACGACGGTCCTCAGCGCCTGGAGAACTCAGGGCTAGGGTGGGGCAGCACCTCTGCGTCCCCTTCACCTCCCTCATGGGCGCGCAGAGTCCCCCTGGGATCTGATCCCACTCTGCGGCGAAAGAAATAAGATCCCGCGCCAGGGCGCCTCTGCGCTTGTAGGGTGATCCTGGAAGCCCAAAGCCGCTTTTCGCAGAACCTTGTGGGAGGCCCCAAATTTAAACCTCTGGGGCCTGACCAACCGCTGGGTGATGCTTCTATGCCGCTTCGCCTCCTTGTCCCTAAACGTGTGTTTTGAGGAGCAGCACCCCGATGCTCCTGCAAGCTTCGAAGGGTTGAGCCCAAGGCTCGTGGAGCTTGTGTAGGTGGGAACAGTGTCACCTGACTGAGAGGATTTAATTTACATCTGGATCAAGTGATAAATTCTTGGATTGTCTGTCTGCTTGAACACCCCATGTACATGGGCGGGGGCAGCCTTAATGATCACTCCAGACATCGGACTGCCAGTAGTTCAGAACTTAGAAAATTTGAGAAAGGGAATGGATAAAGAAAAATCCACATCAATGGTAGCGCTTCTCTGACGCATCGGAGGCGACCCTACATTCAATCCCCAGTCCCCAGTACCATGAGAGAGAAAGTTATTCATGATCCCTTAACCCCCCCGCCCAGAACCACTGTTAGCATTTTGGTGTACTTCCCTTCCAGTATTTTCTTCCTTTTGTATTAATAATATGTGTTGGGCCGGGGGTTTAGCTCTGTGGTTCCGCCCCTGCCTCACAAGTGCAAGGGCCCGAGTTCGATCCCTGGGACCAAAAAATAATAATAACAACAATAATAATAATATATGCTATTCTGTAACCTATCCCCCACCAGCATTACAGGGCCCCCCACCGGGGATCCAACTCAGGTCCTTGAGCTTGTGAGGCAGGCGGTGGAACCACTGAGGTAAACCCCCAGCTCCACAGCATATTTTCTTACAGGGACTAGAACTTTATATAAACAAAGCTCTGTGTGCTGTGTGTACAAGCGACAACAAGAAAATGCACTTATGTTTTTCTTGTTTATTGTTTAGCATTCAGTTGTTGCAAATTTCTGCGCCCACTCCCAGAAATGGCAGTTGGATGGAAAAATAAAAACATTCCTGCTTTAAATTTAAATGGAAAACTCTGAGACAGAAGCAGGCGCCCCCTACTGACAGCGGATGATTGTCCCCTGCAAGCCAATGACCATTTTTGCTGTAGTGATCTTTATCACAAACCTCAAGGCATGTAGAACACCGATTGGTTTCTAACTTCAAGAAATTTAGTCTTCGTGAAAGTTCTGTATCCCAGCTAAGCAGAACCTATTTCCTCAGTTTCTGATTGAGGGTAAGTGCAGAATTAAAACCAGGAAAGATTTTTACACCAGCTCAAATCTCCCTTGGCAACAGTTGAGCCGTTAAAAAGTAGTGCACGTTTGAAATGCTCACAGCTGTGGCTTAGAACATTTCACATTTTGTAGAGTGAAA